ACATATTGGAGCCTATCCAGGGTTTTGCTGGGAACCCCGGACAGGACTCCATTGCAATAGTCCAGACGGGATGTAATGAAGGCGTGTACCAGGGTTTCTGCCACAGAGTCAGAGAGAGAAGGCCGGATTCTGGCAATGTTTTTTAGGTGGTAGAAGGCGGATTTGGTGACAGCTTTGACATGTGCCTGGAAAGAGAGGGTGGTGTCCAGGATGACTCCCAGGTTGCAGACTTCAGTGGACGGGGAGATGGAGCAGCCGTCAATGGAGAGAAGCAGGTCTCCAACCTTCTGGAGCTGCGTCTTGGGAGCCACAATCATGAGCTCTGTTGTATTGCTGTTGATTTTGAGCAGGTTTGATGACATCCAGTTTGTATGTCCTGCAGGCAGTTGACAAGGGATTGAGGGGGAGCTGAGTGGACGGTTTGGTGGAGAGATAGAGCTGTGTGTCATCAGCATAAGAGTGAAAGCTGAGACCATGTTGGCGGATGATTTGACCAAGTGGGAGCATGTAGATATTGAATAGGAGGGGTCCAAGCACAGAGCCTTGAGGTACACCTTGGTTAACTGGGGTGGGAGGGGAGCTGCAGTCACTGATGGTGACGAAGTTTTTCCTGTATTATTATTATTACATATATATATTACACTTTAATGTGTGTTAAATGTCATAATAATGATAATACACTTTATTTAAAGGTACCTTTCAAAGCACCAGGGACCTCTTACACTTCAGAGAATAGAAACGGGGCAGAAGGACAGCAACTCTTGTATAGCCTCTGAATCTGTTATTAATGAAGATATGAAGATGTTATAACACAGACCTGCTCTTCACACTGGGTGTGTCGGAGGCGCTTGGCGATGTCCATCGGAGTCTCTCCGGCCTCGTTCACTGCAAAGGACAACAATATTCAGATGTACTCACAAAATATATTCTGACAACTCAGATGTAAATGTGAAGTTTATATTGTATTGCATGTACATTGCCGTCTGTGTTTTTGTATATATATATATATATATTGTGTATTCAATACATATACTCTACATTTCCCAAATCAGGATCAATTAAGTTTATCTTATCTTATATCTAACATTTCACTGAAACTGAGACATTTATTGTGTGTGTGTGTGTGTGTGTGTGTTCTCACTGATGGACACGGAGGCCTTCCCTCTCAGCAGCAGCTTCAGACACTCGCTGTTGTCGGTCAGGCAACAGTAATGCAACGCCGTGCTGCCTCTGGCTGTCTGCTGGTCCAGGTTACCACTACACACACACACACACACACACACACAGTGTTACTTTACGCTGACGGAAATTCTGCAGTTCTCACTTCTGTAGCATTTAAAACTAAAGAAAATAAACACAAAAGAAAAACCCGACAAATAGACGTACAAATTACTACAGAAATAAAGAATTACTTAAACATACACTAGGGCTGCTCAATTAATCGTATTTTAATCGCAATTACGATTATGGCTTGCAACGATTACGAAAACAACGTAATCGAAATAAAACGATTATTTTTGTATTATTATTACTTTTTTTTTTGTATTACTTTTTTTTGTATTGGTTTTTCAGTTGAGTTATTCTTACAGTTCTCCGTAATCAACTGTTAAAAACATACAATCTCCAATAAATTGATGTTTTCAAAGTAAATGGATAATCGTTTTTAATAATCGTGATATCAATTATTGACCCAAATAATCGAGATTATGATTTTTGCCATAATCGAGCGGCCCTAACAAACACAACACTCCAAAGAATACATGCAAAACTACTAAACATACACGCACGACTTAAATACTAAGAGATGCAACATCACTTTGAAGTGACGCCAGAGGACCAGAAACAGACCAAATGACCACAGAGATGTTCATGGAATACTTTCTTTCATCTCTCAGGTTTTCTCTCTGACAGTGTATTATTATATATAATAAGTGAATGGTTTATTTTGCGGTGTTACCCATTCTGAGCGAGGAAGTCGACGATGTGCAGCGAGTTCCTGTCCACCATCCGGACTGCCAGGTGGAGCGCCGTCTCCCCGGGCTCCTGCAGAACCAACGGGTAGAGATTCATATCATCAGTTCTCAGGGTTAAAGACTCAGGTTATCTATAGACTCAGATTATCTATAGACTCAGATTATCTATAGTCTCAGGTTATCTATAGACTTTATCTATAGACTCAGGTTATCTATAGTCTCAGGTTATCTATAGACTTTATCTATAGTCTCATGTTATCTATAGTCTCATGTTATCTATAGACTCAGGTTATCTATAGACTCAGGTTATCTATAGACTCAGGTTATCTATAGACTCAGATTATCTATAGACTCAGGTTATCTATAGACTCAGGTTATCTATAGTCTCAGGTTATCTATAGACTTTATCTATAGTCTCATGTTATCTATAGACTCAGGTTATCTATAGACTCAGGTTATCTATAGACTCAGGTTATCTATAGACTCAGATTATCTATAGACTCAGATTATCTATAGTCTCAGGTTATCTATAGACTTTATCTATAGTCTCATGTTATCTATAGACTCATGTTATCTATAGACTCAGGTTATCTATAGACTCAGGTTATCTATAGACTCAGGTTATCTATAGTCTCAGGTTATCTATAGACTCGGGTTATCTATAGACTCAGGTTATCTATAGACTCAGGTTATCTATAGTCTCAGGTTATCTATAGACTTTATCTATAGTCTCATGTTATCTATAGACTCAGGTTATCTATAGACTCAGGTTATCTATAGACTCAGGTTATCTATAGACTCAGGTTATCTATAGACTCGGGTTATCTATAGACTCAGATTATCTATAGTCTCATGTTATCTATAGACTCAGGTTATCTATAGACTCAGGTTATCTATAGACTCAGGTTCTCTATAGTCTCAGGTTATCTATAGACTTTATCTATAGTCTCATGTTATCTATAGACTCAGGTTATCTATAGACTCAGGTTATCTATAGACTCAGGTTATCTATAGTCTCAGGTTATCTAAAGACTTTATCTATAGTCTCATGTTATCTATAGACTCAGGTTATCTATAGTCTCATGTTATCTATAGACTCAGGTTATCTATAGACTCAGGTTATCTATAGTCTCAGGTTATCTATAGACTTTATCTATAGTCTCATGTTATCTATAGACTCAGGTTATCTATAGACTCAGGTTATCTATAGACTCATGTTATCTATAGACTCAGGTTATCTATAGACTCAGGTTATCTATAGACTCAGGTTATCTATAGACTCAGGTTATCTATAGACTCAGATGATCTATAGTCTCAGATTATCTATAGTCTCAGATTATCTATAGACTCAGGTTATCTATAGACTTTATCTATAGTCTCATGTTATCTATAGACTCAGGTTATCTATAGACTCAGGTTATCTATAGACTCAGGTTATCTATAGTCTCATGTTATCTATAGACTCAGGTTATCTATAGTCTCATGTTATCTATAGACTCAGGTTATCTATAGACTCAGGTTATCTATAGACTTTATCTATAGTCTCATGTTATCTATAGACTCAGGTTATCTATAGTCTCATGTTATCTATAGACTCAGGTTATCTATAGACTCAGGTTATCTATAGACTCAGGTTATCTATAGTCTCATGTTATCTATAGACTCAGGTTATCTATAGACTCAGGTTATCTATAGACTCAGATGATCTATAGTCTCAGATTATCTATAGTCTCATGTTATCTATAGACTCAGGTTATCTATAGTCTCATGTTATCTATAGACTCAGGTTATCTATAGTCTCATGTTATCTATAGACTCAGGTTATCTATAGTCTCATGTTATCTATAGACTCAGGTTATCTATAGACTCAGGTTATCTATAGACTTTATCTATAGTCTCATGTTATCTATAGACTCAGGTTATCTATAGTCTCATGTTATCTATAGACTCAGGTTATCTATAGACTCAGGTTATCTATAGTCTCATGTTATCTATAGACTCAGGTTATCTATAGACTCAGGTTATCTATAGACTCAGATGATCTATAGTCTCAGATTATCTATAGTCTCAGATTATCTATAGACTTTATCTATAGACTCAGGTTATCTATAGTCTTTATCTATAGACTCAGGTTATCTATAGACCAGAGTTCCCGTTAGCCGGTAATTACCGGACTACGACCGGTAAAATATGCTGAAGACCGGCAAATCTAAATCTCTCCGGTCAAAGCGTCCGGTCAAAATATATATTCCCCTTAGCGCAATACCGCATCAGTTGGGCAACTTCACTTATGTGACAGACAAAAGAGTATGTGACACGTAATGTGGAGAAAGAGATTTCCTGTATGGGTTGATTGTGCGTTGATCTGTTGGTAATGCCTCTGGGTTCCGGTCGGTATGTAAACAAATGCATAATGCTGCGCTATACTTTGCAGCCTCACCCGGTTGCAGAGCGACGCTTATTGTTTAGGTGTCTTTTAATAAGCAGGTAGTCCTATCATTAGCTAGAACTAGCTGGATCTGATCGATATGGACATAAACGCGAGTAAAGTCTAATCGGGAGAGAGAGATCAGCGGTTTAGTTTTACAGTCGGGTCACTCATTACTGATCCACGAGCTGCATGGCTGTCAGGAGAGGGAGAGAGCGCTCCGTTTATTATTCCAGTGTTATTGTAAGTTACTGAACACTTTTGAATAATGTAGTTAATCTACTATAATTAGTTTGTTTAATATTGAATCATATCAATTTGTTTTAAAGCTCAATAAATAACAAAGAAGACCTTTGACCGGCACTTTTCAAATTGTGTCAGGAAGATTTAAACTTTAACGGACATGTTGACCGGTGAAAAAATATTCTAACGGGAACTCTGCTATAGACTCAGGTTATCTATAGTCTCAGGTTATCTATAGACTTTATCTATAGACTCAGGTTATCTACAGACTCAGGTTATCTATAGACTTTATCTATAGACTTTATCTATAGACTCAGGTTATCTATAGACTCAGGTTATCTATAGACTCAGGGTTGTATGGTATATATAGTCCTAGTCTCCCTGTGTCCCGTACCAGTTCATCTTGTTTCTCATTGGTCTAGAGATGCAGAGTTTTGAAGGTTTATTAGCGTAGTGTTTTTGTATTTAGCCATTGCCACGTTTGCCTCTGAAAAGAGGGTTTGTTTTCTTATTTTAGAAAACACTTTTTTGGGATTTGGAACTTCTTGTCTTGAGTCGTGCATTTCACGAGTCCAAGTATATGTGTCACGGTTCCTGACGAAATATTCTGAATGTGTTTTGAGTTTGATGGATGTCTCGTCACAAACTGCAGTAAACATACGTGTTCGTTGGGTTGGTCGATGGCCTCCCGCAGTTCCACCCCCTCAGCGTAGATCTGAAGCAGCGACAGGATGTCCCTGCATCGAACCGCCTCGTACAGCGCCTGCAGCTGCGCCGCCGCGTCCGCACACTGCCGCCGCACAAATCGCTTCTCCGTGTACTTCGCCATGATGAAGTCCTTCCTCACCTGCCTGCAGAACCACACACACTCATTCAGTCTCTGTGGTTCTGGTCTCCAGGAGGCTCACAGCCTTCATAGAGGGGCAAGGTTCTAGATCTAAACAAACAGCTCCGTTACTCCAGCAGAATGTTAGATCAGTGATGCAAAGATTACCTATAAAACCAATCTGACTCTGATAAATTGTTAGAAGGTTATTTTGTTGAATCTATCATTACATGGTTGTGTAGCAAACACCAACATGAACCCCTCCTTCAGATGTCATGATATAGATCTGGAGTATGTGTTTGTGATATAGATCTATAGGAATCTCTCACATGTCGCTGCTGGGGTCCGGTTTGGTGACGTGCGGCGCCGACAGATCTGCCTCCATGACCTCGTTGAAGCTGGCATTTCCCACATTCTTCGCCAACTAAAACACAACACGTCAGGTCAGGTGGGTCCGTCTGGACTACTTGTTCTACCCCAGGGGTTCTCAAACTGTTTGAATATTCTTTCTTTACAATCAGCCGAGCATGCGTTAAAAAAGGCTCAGCTGTAAAGGTGCATTCACACCCTGGAGGTTCTAGAGTTAAAACGTCCCCTGGAGGTTCTAGAGTTAAAATGACGCCCTGTAGGTTCTAGAGTTAAAACGTCCCCCTAGAGGTTCTAGAGTTAAAACGTCCCCCTAGAGGTTCTAGAGTTAAAATGACCCCCTGGAGGTTCTAGAGTTAAAATGACCCCCTGGAGGTTCTAGAGTTAAAATGACCCCCTGGAGGTTCTAGAGTTAAAACGTCCCCCTGGAGGTTCTAGAGTTAAAACGTCCCCCTGGAGGTTCTAGAGTTAAAACGTCCCCCTGGAGGTTCTAGAGTTAAAATGACCCCCTGGAGGTTCTAGAGTTAAAACGTCCCCCTGGAGGTTCTAGAGTTAAAACGTCCCCCTGGAGGCTCTAGAATTAAAATGACCCCCTGGAGGTTCTAGAGTTAAAACGTCCCCCTGGAGGTTCTAGAGTTAAAATGACCCCCTGGAGGTTCTAGAGTTAAAACGTCCCCCTAGAGGTTCTAGAGTTAAAACGTCCCCCTGGAGGTTCTAGAGTTAAAATGTCCCCCTGGAGGTTCTAGAGTTAAAATGACCCCCTGGAGGTTCTAGAGTTAAAACGTCCCCCTAGAGGTTCTAGAGTTAAAACGTCCCCCTGGAGGTTCTAGAGTTAAAACGTCCCCCTGGAGGTTCTAGAGTTAAAACGTCCCCCTAGAGGTTCTAGAGTTAAAACGTCCCCCTGGAGGTTCTAGAGTTAAAACGTCCCCCTGGAGGTTCTAGAGTTAAAACGACCCCCTGGAGGTTCTAGAGTTAAAACGTCCCCCTGGAGGTTCTAGAGTTAAAACGTCCCCCTGAAGGTTCTAGAGTTGCATTAAGTTGAACAACATGTCTCAGTGAAATAGATCGTGGACTCACCAGCAGCTCCGAGGTTCCCAGCATGTCCAGGTCCAGGCTCTGGATCCTGGAGTAGTGGACCCCCATCTCCCTGTGGATCCCCGAGCACTCGATGCAGATCAGAACCCCCAAGTTAGTGGACAGCCAGGTGGGGTCTGAGGGCCAGAGAGGATCAGTTAGGGTGGCTTAATGAGGTCTGGTCTGTACGACTTCTAGTCCTAACGAGTCCTGGTTCTAACGAGTCCTGGTTTTAATGAGTCCTGGTTCTAACTAGTCTTGGTTCTAATAAGTCCTGGTTCTAACTAGTCATGATTCTAACTAGTCCTGGTTCTAATGAGTCCTGGTTCTAATGAGTCCTGGTTCTAACGAGTCCTGGTTCTAACGAGTCCTGGTTCTAACGAGTGCTGGTTCTAACGAGTCCTGGTTCTAATGAGTCCTGGTTCTAACAATTCCTGGTCTTAACGAGTCCTGGTCTAAACAAGTCCTGGTTCTAACGAGTCCTGGTTTTAACTAGTCCTGGTCTTGACAAGTCCTGGTCTTGACAAGTCCTGGTCTTAACGAGTCCTGCTCTTAACGAGTCCTGGTTCTAACAATTCCTGGTCTTAACGAGTCCTGGTTCTAACGAGTCCTGGTTTTAACTAGTCCTGGTCTTGACAAGTCCTGGTCTTAACGAGTCCTGCTTCAAACGAGTCCTGTTCTTAACGAGTCCTGGTTCTAACGAGTCCTGGTCTTAACGAGTCCTGATTCTAACTAGTCCTGGATCTAATGAGTCCTGGTTCTAACAAGTCCTGGTTCTAATGAGTCCTGGTTCTAATGAGTCCTGGTTCTAATGAGTCCTGGTTCTAACGAGTCCTGGTTCTAAGAAGTCTTGGTTCTTATGAGTCCTGGTTATAAAAATTACTTGAGTATCCTGGTTTAAAGGTTCCCATTCTCTATCAGCAGTATAAGTGCTAGTATTAGTAGTAGTATTAGCAGTAGTAGTAGTAGTAGCAGTATTAGTAGTAGTAGTAGCAGTAGTAGCAGTAGTAGTAGTAGTAGCAGTATTTAGGGACGGGTGGCGCAGTGGTCTGTGCATCCGATCATCAGATCAAGGGGGAGTGCTGGGGAACTCCAGTTCGAAACCCGCTCCTGCCGCCACTGCGTCAGGCCGTTGTGTCCTTGGGCAAGACACTTCACCCGGATTTGCTCCTGTGGGTATTGTCCACAGTACATGTATAATACTAATGTGTACCTGTAAGAGCGCCTCGATGTCTTCGAGGCGTGAAGATGGACGGTGTGGCGCAGTGCGCTGTGCAATGATCATCAGATCAAGGGGTGAAACCCGCCGCTGCTGCGTCTGTAAAGCCGGTGTGTCCTTGGGCAAGACACTTCACCTGAACTTGCTCCTGTGGGTATTGTCCACAGTATCTGACCATTGCATGTATCATATATGTGTAATGTGTGTATATGTAAAGCGCTTTGAGTCATTGATAAAGCGCTATAATAAATGTAAGGAATTAATTATTATTAAATTATTAATTATTATTAATTATTATTAGTAGTAGCAGTAGTAGCAGTAGTAGTATCAGTAGTAGCAGTAGTAGTAGCAGTAGTAGTAGTAGTATTAGTAGTAGTATTATTAGTAGTAGTAGCAGTAGTAGTAGTAGTAGTAGTAGTATTATTAGTAGTAGCAGTAGTAGTAGTAGCAGCAGTAGTAGTATTAGTAGCAGTAGTAGTATTAGTAGCAGTAGTAGTAGCAGTAGTATAATATGACGTACCGGGCGCCCCACAGTCGCAGCAGCAAGAGTTCCCGCTCATCCTCTTCACCTCCTCCACGATGGCTCTGGTCAGCTCCTGCACGATGTTGTTCTCTCCTTCGTCCTGATCGCCTTTAAATGCTTTGTTCAGAGCCTCCTCCTTACTGTTCTGCAGCACTGACACCCAGCTGAACACACACACACACACACACACACACACACACACACACACACACACACCACACACACACACACACACACACACACACACACACACACACACATTTCAAACTAAATGAAATACACTTCAAATGAACACACAAAACCACTCAACATACACGCATGAATTACTTAAAATACTAAGAGATTACTTTGAAGTGACGCCAGAGGACTAGAAACAGACCAGATGACCAGAGATGTTCATAGAATATATTTTTTATATATAACTTTTACTCATTATATTTGTATTGATATAATTCACAATCACTTTTACTAATGGGCCCCCGCATATCTAGGTATAATATTTATTAATAATAATAACAACCATATACTCACTGCTGGCAATCAGCCTCATCCTCGGCCTGGAAGTGGTACGTGCGGTCGTCTGCAGGAGAAAGACGGTCAGAGAATGTGTGTGTGTGTGTGTGTGTGTGTGTGTGTGTGTGTGTGTGTGTGTGAAGTAATACTACTTCTAACTAATATTAGAAGTAGGCTGTGCCTTTGACCTGTACATGGACCAGGACAAGTGTAGATACAGCATACTTATATTCGGAAGTCTTGGCCGTGTATATAAATGCACCATGATTGGTCTGAGAGTTGCTGGAATGTCAAAGAGAAAAGCCAAACAAATTGCCAAATATTGCTCTGTCTCAGCTGCTATTGGCTGCTTAGCCGTGTGGAGAAGGAGGTGCTATGTGTTCCCCTAAGTGATATATTTGATTCCCTGTCTATGTAATATAATTTGTGGAACCAAATAAAGTATTCAAATGTGTGTGCAGCTTACGGGAGAACAGGTCGAAGCTCTTCTTCTCGTCTGGACTACTCTTCACCTGGCAGGTGAGCAGGTTCAGTTTGGCCGGGGGTCTGTTAGCCTGCGAGACCAGCAGCAGGGAGAGAAGTGCCACGTTAGAGGAGTCCAATGCTCATTAACAGCAAATATATATATATATTTTCATGTGTCCTTGTCCCTTTACTTAATCCTTACATGGGCAACTACATGTAAATATTCTGGAGAACTAACTGATTGCTATTTTCTACATTACACATTTAACACTGTAATTACACCCATATGACACATTAATGCACCATCATTACCCCTGTGTTACACCCTTTTATCCCCATATTACACAAATATAACACCTGTATTAGACCCATGTTACACCACTATTACACCCGTACTACACCCTTATTACACTGTTATTACACCCATATTACCAGGGACGTGCACAGACATTTTAGGGGGCGGGAGCTCAAGTGGGAAAAAGGGCACTTCCCATAATCATTTATAAAAACATAAATTAAAAACAGTTGAATATAGTTGCACATCTCTGACTTACTAACCAATTCATTTTGAACACTCTCACACTCACACACACACACACACACACACACACACACACACACACACACACACACACACACACACACACACACACACACACACACACACACACACACACACACACACACACACACACACATGTTTAATACTCAACAGAATTCTACAAAATAATCAGTTAACACGGAGACAATGGCCTTCTTTAGTATTCACTCGCACAAGAGCAGACAACAATCACAATGATGAAGTTACTGTTTAAGTCTCTCTCAATTCATCTCTAGATTTAAAGCTAATCTGTAATTCATCTCTAGATTTAAAGCTAATCTGTAATTCATCTCTAGATTTAAAGCTAATCTGTAATTCATCTCTAGATTTAAAGCTAATCTGTAAACATAATGTGTCAGGGAAACAGCGACTTGACGTCAGTGAGGTGGTGTGTTTTTAGTTTGATCCTTTTCACCTGCAATGCCTTGGAAACTGCAAATGAGCGCATTTGAATGAGGCCTAGTTAACGCCTCATTCATATCATTGTGAGGACGCTATTAGATACACATTTTACTGTATTCACCTTTAGTGTCTGGCCGTTTCTCAATGTCGAGTAAACCTGCTGCATCTCCTTAAGTACATTAGCATGCCCGTGATAAATGGCCTTAGCTAGACCTTCAACTAACTTATCCAGTAGCCTACTTTACCTGTCTGTCTGAAGGGACAGTAAGGTGGGAGATGCTGCTACCTGTCTGTCTGAAGGGACAGTGAGGTGGGAGGGGCTGCTACCTGTCTGTCTGAAGGGACAGTGAGGTGGGAGGGGCTGCTACCTGTCTGTCTGAAGGGACAGTGAGGTGGGAGGGGCTGCTACCTGTCTGTCTGAAGGGACAGTAAGGTGGGAGGTGCTGCTACCTGTCTGTCTGAAGGGACAGTGAGGTGGGAGGGGCTGCTACCTGTCTGTCTGAAGGGACAGTGAGGTGGGAGGGGCTGCTACCTGTCTGTCTGAAGGGACAGTGAGGTGGGAGATGCTGCTACCTGTCTGTCTGAAGGGACAGTGAGGTGGGAGGGGCTGCTACCTGTCTGTCTGAAGGGACAGTAAGGTGGGAGGTGCTGGTACCTGTCTGTCTGAAGGGACAGTGAGGTGGGAGGGGCTGCTACCTGTCTGTCTGAAGGGACAGTGAGGTGGGAGGGGCTGCTACCTGTCTGTCTGAAGGGACAGTAAGGTGGGAGGTGCTGCTACCTGTCTGTCTGAAGGGACAGTGAGGTGGGAGGGGCTGCTACCTGTCTGTCTGAAGGGACAGTAAGGTGGGAGGTGCTGCTACCTGTCTGTCTGAAGGGACAGTGAGGTGGGAGGGGCTGCTACCTGTCTGTCTGAAGGGACAGTGAGGTGGGAGGTGCTGCTACCTGTCTGTCTGAAGGGACAGTGAGGTGGGAGGGGCTGCTACCTGTCTGTCTGAAGGGACAGTGAGGTGGGAGGGGCTGCTACCTGTCTGTCTGAAGGGACAGTAAGGTGGGAGGTGCTGCTACCTGTCTGTCTGAAGGGACAGTGAGGTGGGAGGGGGCTGCTACCTGTCTGTCTGAAGGGACAGTGAGGTGGGAGGGGCTGCTACCTGTCTGTCTGAAGGGACAGTGAGGTGGGAGGTGCTGCTACCTGTCTGTCTGAAGGGACTGTAAGGTGGGAGGTGCTGCTACCTGTCTGTCTGAAGGGACAGTGAGGTGGGAGGTGCTGCTACCTGTCTGTCTGAAGGGACTGTAAAGTGGGAGGTGCTGCTACCTGTCTGTCTGAAGGGACTGTAAGGTGGGAGGGGCTGCTACCTGTCTGTCTGAAGGGACAGTAAGGTGGGAGGTGCTGCTACCTGTCTGTCTGAAGGGACAGTGAGGTGGGAGGTGCTGCTACCTGTCTGTCTGAAGGGACTGTAAGGTGGGAGGGGCTGCTACCTGTCTGTCTGAAGGGACAGTAAGGTGGGAGGTGCTGCTACCTGTCTGTCTGAAGGGACAGTGAGGTGGGAGGTGCTGCTACCTGTCTGTCTGAAGGGACAGTGAGGTGGGAGGTGCTGCTACCTGTCTGTCTGATGGGACAGTGAGGTGGGAGGGGCTGCTACCTGTCTGTCTGAAGGGACTGTAAGGTGGGAGGTGCTGCTACCTGTCTGTCTGAAGGGACTGTAAAGTGGGAGGTGCTGCTACCTGTCTGTCTGAAGGGACTGTAAGGTGGGAGGTGCTGCTACCTGTCTGTCTGAAGGGACAATGAGGTGGGAGGGGCTGCTACCTGTCTGTCTGAAGGGACAGTAAGGTGGGAGGTGCTGCTACCTGTTTGTCTGAAGGGACAGTGAGGTGAGAGGTGCTGCTACCTGTCTGTCTGAAGGGACAGTAAGGTGGGAGGTGCTGCTACCTGTCTGTCTGAAGGGACAGTGAGGTGAGAGGTGCTGCTACCTGTCTGTCTGAAGGGACAGTGAGGTGAGAGGTGCTGCTACCTGTCTGTCTGAAGGGACAGTAAGGTGGGAGGGGCTGCTACCTGTCTGTCTGAAGGGACAGTGAGGTGAGAGGTGCTGCTACCTGTCTGTCTGAAGGGACAGTAAGGTGGGAGGTGCTGCTACCTGTCTGTCTGAAGTGACTGTAAAGTGGGAGGTGCTGCTAACTGTGTGTCTGAAGGGACTGTAAGGTGGGAGGTGCTGCTACCTGTCTGTCTGAAGGGACAGTGAGGTGGGAGGGGCTGCTACCTGTCTGTCTGAAGGGACAGTGAGGTGGGAGGGGCTGCTACCTGTCTGTCTGAAGGGACAGTGAGGTGGGAGGTGCTGCTACCTGTCTGTCTGAAGGGACAGTAAGGTGGGAGGTGCTGCTACCTGTCTGTCTGAAGGGACTGTAAGGTGGGAGGTGCTGCTACCTGTCTGTCTGAAGTGACTGTAAAGTGGGAGGTGCTGCTAACTGTGTGTCTGAAGGGACTGTAAGGTGGGAGGTGCTGCTACCTGTCTGTCTGAAGGGACAGTAAGGTGGGAGGGGCTGCTACCTGTCTGTCTGAAGGGACAGTGAGGTGGGAGGTGCTGCTACCTGTCTGTCTGAAGGGACAGTGAGGTGGGAGGGGCTGCTACCTGTCTGTCTGAAGGGACAGTGAGGTGGGAGGTGCTGCTACCTGTCTGTCTGAAGGGACAGTGAGGTGGGAGGTGCTGCTACCTGTCTGTCGGAAGGGACAGTGAGGTGGGAGGTGCTGCTACCTGTCTGTCTGAAGGGACAGTGAGGTGGGAGGGGCTGCTACCTGTCTGTCTGAAGGGACAGTGAGGTGGGAGGGGCTGCTACCTGTCTGTCCGAAGGGACTGTAAGGTGGGAGGTGCTGCTACCTGTCTGTCTGAAGGGACTGTAAGGTGGGAGGTGCTGCTACCTGTCTGTCTGAAGGGACAGTAAGGTGGGAGGTGCTGCTACCTGTCTGTCTGAAGGGACTGTAAGGTGGGAGGTGCTGCTACCTGTCTGTCTGAAGGGACAGTAAGGTGGGAGGTGCTGCTACCTGTCTGTCTGAAGGGACAGTAAGGTGGGAGGGGCTGCTACCTGTCTGTCTGAAGGGACAGTGAGGTGGGAGGTGCTGCTACCTGTCTGTCTGAAGGGACTGTAAGGTGGGAGGTGCTGCTACCTGTCTGTCTGAAGGGACAGTGAGGTGGGAGGGGCTGCTACCTGTCTGTCTGAAGGGACAGTGAGGTGGGAGGTGCTGCTACCTGTCTGTCTGAAGGGACTGTAAGGTGGGAGGTGCTGCTACCTGTCTGTCTGAAGGGACAGTAAGGTGGGAGGGGCTGCTACCTGTCTGTCTGAAGGGACTGTAAGGTGGGAGGTGCTGCTACCTGTCTGTCTGAAGGGACAGTAAGGTGGGAGGTGCTGCTACCTGTCTGTCTGAAAGGACAGTAAAGTGGGAGGTGCTGCTACCTGTCTGTCTGAAGGGACAGTAAAGTGGGAGGTGCTGCTGTCTGTCTGTCTGTCTGAAGGGACTGTAAGGTGGGAGGGGCTGCTACCTGTCTGTCTGAAGGGACAGTAAGGTGGGAGGTGCTGCTACCTGTCTGTCTGAAGAGACAGTAAAGTGGGAGGGGCTGCTACCTGTCTGTCTGAAGAGACAGTAAAGTGGGAGGGGCTGCTACCTGTCTGTCTGAAGGGACAGTAAGGTGGGAGGTGCGGCTACCTGTCTGTCTGAAGGGACAGTAAGGTGGGAGGTGCTGCTACCTGTCTGTCTGAAGGGACAGTAAGGTGGGAAGTGCTGCTACCTGTCTGTCTGAAGGGACAGTAAGGTGGGAAGTGCTGCTACCTGTCTGTCTGAAGAGACAGTAAAGTGGGAGGGGCTGCTACCTGTCTGTCTGAAGGGACAGTAAGGTGGGAAGTGCTGCTACCTGTCTGTCTGAAGAGACAGTAAAGTGGGAGGTGCTGCTACCTGTCTGTCTGAAGGGATAGTAAGGTGGGAGGTGCTGCTACCTGTCTGTCTGAAGGGACTGTAAGGTGGGAGGGGCTACTACCTGTCTGTCTGAAGGGACTGCCGATGTCCGCACCGCTGTGCAGGAGACATGGAGGCAGGGGGGGAGAGCATCGGAACTTCACAGTCTAATCTCCCGACCTGATATTTTAATTTTATATTCAATCAATATATTTTCGGAAAGGGAAACTGTGCGCAAACAGCAGTAGATATATATTCATTTATAAAAAATAAATAAAAAAGGGGGGAAAAGGGCAGGGGCTCAAGCCCACTTCGTGTGCACATGCCTGCATATTACACTGATATAAGACCCTTATTACACACAAAAAAGAATCAACAATAATTTAAAAGAAATGTGAATTATAAAGAATTTTCCAAATGTAAAACAATTTGGAAAATCGCGTGTTGAGCAGGATTAGAGCCAGATGTGAAAAAACATCTGTAATTTCTGATAAAAAAGGTAATTATTCCACATATGGCTCTAATCCTGTTCTGCATTAAAGTACATCTGATCTAATAATGATGAGCCGCAGCTCAGCATTCAGAGTGCATGTCTGCTTTATTATACTGTTTAAAAAGGATTATAGGTTTGAGGTCATTAGTAATAATGAATGATTAGTGCCCCCCCACCCTTCTCTGTGTCATCCTTCTCCTCATGCTCCTCCTTCTCCTCCTGTTTCTCTTCTGCTGCTTGCTCTGTTCTGAGGACTCTTCATGTAAAAACTTCAAAATAAAAGAAAGAAGGAACAAAACAAAAAATAAGAAACTAAAACAAATTATATTTGCTTTTTTCCCCCGAAAAAAAAACCCAGGAGAAGATTTGTTCTTGATTGGCTGATGGGAATGCAGATGGGGGGGGGGAGGAGCTTCTAATGCATGAGGACCAATCAGAGGAGAGGATCTCACCGTGCCGTGGGGGATGGTCAGGAAGCCGTTCTTCACGGAGCATCTCCTCTTCTGCCACACCTTCCTCAGCCTGAGGACACAGAGTTATTACACTACAAGCCATCAAACCCAGAGGCAGCTATCAAACCCAGAGGCAGCTATCAAACCCATATGCAGCTATCATCAAACCCAGAGGCAGCTATCAAACCCAGAGGCAGCTATCATCAAACCCAGAGGCAGCCATCAAACCCAGAGGCAGCTATCAAACCCAGAGGCAGCTATCAAACCCAGAGGCAGCTATCAAACCCATATGCAGCTATCATCAAACCCAGAGGCAGCTATCAAACCCAGAGGCAGCTATCAAACCCAGAGGCAGCTATCAAACCCAGAGGCAGCTATCAAACCCAGAGGCAGCTATCAAACCCAGAGGCAGCTATCAAACCCATATGCAGCTATCATCAACCCAGAGGCAGCTATCAAACCCAGAGGCAGCTATCATCAAACCCAGAGGCAGCTATCAAACCCAGAGGCAGCTATCAAACCCAGAGGCAGCTATCAAACCCAAAGGCAGCTATCAAACCCAGAGGCAGCTATCAAACCCAAAGGCAGCTATCAAACCCAAAGGCAGCTATCAAACCCAGAGGCAGCTATCAAACCCAAAGGCAGCTATCAAACCCAGAGGCAGCTATCATCAAACCCAGAGGCAGCTATCAAACCCAGAGGCAGCTATCAAACCCAAAGGCAGCTATCAAACCCAGAGGCAGCTATCATCAAACCCAGAGGCAGCTATCAAACCCAAAGGCAGCTATCATCAAACCCAAAGGCAGCTATCATCAAACCCAGAGGCAGCTATCAAACCCAGAGGCAGCTATCATCAAACCCAAAGGCAGCTATCATCAAACCCAGAGGCAGCTATCATCAAACCCAGAGGCAGCTATCATCAAACCCAGAGGCAGCTATCATCAAACCCAGAGGCAGCTATCAAACCCAGAGGCAGCTATCATCAAACCCAGAGGCAGCTATCATCAAACCCAGAGGCAGCTATCAAACCCAGAGGCAGCTATCAAACCCAGAGGCAGCTATCAAACCCAGAGGCAGCCCAAAGGCAGCTATCAAACCCAAAGGCAGCTATCATCAAACCCAGAGGCAGCAATCATCAAACCCAGAGGCAGCTATCATCAAACCCAGAGGCAGCCCAGAGGCAGCTAACAAACCAAGAGGCAGCCCAGAGGCAGCTATCATCAAACCCAGAGGCAGCTATCATCAAACCTAAAGGCAGCTATCATCAAACCCAGAGGCAGCTATCATCAAACCCAGAGGCAGCTATCATCAAACCCAGAGGCAGCTATCAAACCCAGAGGCAGCCCAGAGGCATTTATCAAACCCAAAGGCAGCTATAATCAAACCCAGAGGCAGCTATCAAACCCAAAGGCAGCTATCATCAAACCCAGAGGCAGCTATCAAACCCAGAGGCAGCCCAGAGGCAGCTATCAAACCGAGAGGCAGCTATCAAACCCAGAGGCAGCTATCAAACCCAAAGGCAGCTATCATCAAACCCAGAGGCAGCTATCAAACCCAAAGGCAGCTATCAAACCCAAAGGCAGCTATCAACAGCTAACAAACCCAGAGGCAGCTATCATCAAACCCAAAGGCAGCTATCATCAAACCCAGAGGCAGCTATCAAACCCAGAGGCAGCCCAGAGGCAGCTATCAAACCCAGAGGCAGCTATCAAACCCAGAGGCAGCTATCAAACCCAAAGGCAGCTATCATCAAACCCAGAGGCAGCTATCAAACCCAGAGGCAGCCCAGAGGCAGCTATCAAACCGAGAGGCAGCTATCAAACCCAGAGGCAGCTATCAAACCCAAAGGCAGCTATCATCAAACCCAGAGGCAGCTATCAAACCCAAAGGCAGCTATCAAACCCAAAGGCAGCTATCAACAGCTAACAAACCCAGAGGCAGCTATCAAACCCAAAGGCAGCTATCATCAAACCCAGAGGCAGCTATCAAACCCAGAGGCAGCCCAGAGGCAGCTATCAAACCCAGAGGCAGCTATCAAACCCAGAGGCAGCTATCAAACCCAAAGGCAGCTATCATCAAACCCAGAGGCAGCTATCAAACCCAAAGGCAGCTATCAAACCCAGAGGCAGCTATCAAACCCAAAGGCAGCTATCAAACCCAAAGGCAGCTATCAAACCCAGAGGCAGCTATCAAACCCAAAGGCAGCTATCATACCCAAAGGCAGCTATCAACCCCAAAGACAGCTATCATCAAACCCAGAGGCAGCTATCATCAAACCCAGAGGCAGCTATCATCAAACCCAGAGGCAGCTATCATCAAACCCAGAGGCAGCTATCATACTCAAAGGCAGCTATCATCAAACCCAGAGGCAGCTATCATCAAACCCAAAGGCAGCTATCATCAAACCCAGAGGCAGCTATCATCAAACCCAGAGGCAGCTATCATCAAACCCAGAGGCAGCTATCAAACCCAGAGGCAGCCCAGAGGCAGCTATTCTCAAACCCAGAGGCAGCTATCATCAAACCCAGAGGCAGCTATCAAACCCAGAGGCAGCCCAGAGGCAGCTATCATCAAACCCAAAGGCAGCTATCATCAAACCCAGAGGCAGCTATCATCAAACCCAGAGGCAGCTATCAAACCCAGAGGCAGCTATCAAACCCAAAGGCAGCTATCATCAAACCCAAAGGCAGCTATCATCAAACCCAGAGGCAGCTATCATCAAACCCAGAGGCAGCTATCATCAAACCCAGAGGCAGCTATCAAACCCAGAGGCAGCTATCAAACCCAGAGGCAGCTATCATCAAACCCAGAAGCACCTATCAAACCCAGAGGCAGCTATCAAGCCCAGAGGCAGCTATCAAGCCCAGAGTCAGCTATCAAACCCAGAGGCAGCTATCAAACCCAGAGGCAGCCCAGAGGCAGCTATCAAACCCAGAGGCAGCTATCATCAAACCCAGAGGCAGCTATCATCAAACCCAGAGGCAGCTATCAAACCCAGAGGCAGCCCAGAGGCAGCTATCAAACCCAGAGGCAGCTATCAAACCCAAAGGCAGCTATCATCAAACCCAGAGGCAGCTATCAAACCCAGAGGCAGCTATCATCAAACCCAGAGGCAGCTATCAAACCCAGAGGCAGCTATCATCAAACCCAGAGGCAGCTATCATCAAACCCAGAGGCAGCTATCAAACCCAGAGGCAGCTATCATACCCAGAGGCAGCTATCAAACCCAGAGTCAGCTATCAAACCCAGAGGCAGCTATCAAACCCAGAGGCAGCTATCAAACCCAAAGGCAGCTATCATCAAACCCAGAGGCAGCTATCAACCCAGAGGCAGCTATCAAGCCCAGAGGCAGCTATCAAACCCAGAGGCAGCTATCATCAAACCCAGAGTCAGCTATCATCAAACCCAGAGGCAGCTATCAAACCCAGAGGCAGCTATCATCAAACCCAGAGTCAGCTATCATCAAACCCAGAGGCAGCTATCAAACCCAGAGGCAGCTATCAAGCCCAGAGGCAGCTATCATACCCAGAGGCAGCTATCAAACCCAGAGGCAGCTATCATCAAACCCAGAGTCAGCTATCATCAAACCCAGAGGTAGCTATCAAACCCAGAGGCAGCTATCATCAAACCCAGAGGCAGCTATCAAACCCAGAGTCAGCTATCATCAAACCCAGAGGCAGCTATCAAACCCAGAGGCAGCTATCATCAAACCCAGAGGCAGCTATCAAACCCAGAGGCAGCTATCAAACCCAGAGGCAGCTTGCAAACCCAGAGGTAGCTATCAAACCCAGAGGCAGCTTGCAAACCCAGAGGTAGCTATCAAACCCAGAGGCAGCTTGCAAACCCAGAGGCAGCTATCAAACCCAGAGGCAGCTATCAAACCCAGAGGCAGCTATCAAACCCAAAGGCAGCTATCATCAAACCCAGAGGCAGCTATCAAACCCAGATGCAGCTATCAAACCCAGAGTCAGCTATCATCAAACCCAGAGGCAGCTATCAAACCCAGAGGCAGCTATCAAACCCATATGCAGCTATCATCAAACCCAGAGGCAGCTATCAAACCCAGAGGCAGCTATCAAACTCAGAGGCAGCTTGCAAACCCAGAGGTAGCTATCAAACCCAGAGGCAGCTTGCAAACCCAGAGGCAGCTATCAAACCCAAAGGCAGCTATCAAACCCAGAGGCAGCTAACAAACCCAGAGGCAGCTATCAAACCCAAAGGCAGCTATCAAACCCAGAGGCAGCTATCAAACCCAAAGGCAGCTATCAAACCCAGAGGCAGCTATCAAACCCAAAGGCAGCTATCAAACCCAAAGGCAGCTATCAAACCCAGAGGCAGCTATCAAACCCAAAGGCAGCGTTCAACTGGAGGAACGACCACAATACACAGAGGTGCAAAGAAGAAATGAGCGAGAACGAAACGTTTGCAAGCCACATGTAAGGAATTAAAATGTCAGCATGAAGGGTCCTGCAGGGGTCTTGTAGAGATAAGCTAAAATAAGCTAAGCTAAAGGAGGCTAATGTTTGGCGTGATGACGTCTAGTCGTCTCATTTAGACTCTTGTTAGCAACCTCCGTATTTTATGTCGTAGAACTAAAAGTTAAAACCTCTTCAGCTTGTGTTCAGACCTTATTTCAGGATAACAACCAAAACACATTCAGGTAAGGAAGGGAAGAAATGCTGACTCATGCCAGGGTTCAGGACTCATGATGCTGACTCATGCCAGGGTTCAGGACTCATGATGCTGACTCATGTTCAGGACTCATGATGCTGACTCAGGTTCAGGACTCATGATGCTGACTCATGTTCAGGACTCATGATGCTGACTCAGGTTCAGGACTCATGATGCTGACTCATGTTCAGGACTCATGATGCTGACTCAGGTTCAGGACTCATGATGCTGACTCATGTTCAGGACTCATGATGCTGACTCAGGTTTAGGACTCATGATGCTGACTCATGTTCAGGACTCATGATGCTGACTCATGTTCAGGACTCATGATGCTGACTCAGGGTTCAGGACTCATGATGCTGACTCATGCCAGGGTTTAGGACTCATGATGCTGACTCATGCCAGGGTTTAGGACTCATGATGCTGACTCATGCCAGGGTTTAGGACTCATGATGCTGACTCAGGGTTCAGGGACTCATGATGCTGACTCATGCCAGGGTTTAGGACTCATGATGCTGACTCATGCCAGGGTTTAGGACTCATGATGCTGACTCATGTTCAGGACTCATGATGCTGACTCATGCCAGGGTTCAGGACTCATGATGCTGACTGGGTTGTATATGTTGTTGTGAGCGTGCTGCAGTAAGTGCCTCTCCTGTTGCATGCTGGGTCTCTGAGTTCTCACCCCTCGCTCTTCTTGTAGAGTGTGCCGATGCGCTCGGTGCCGTGCGCCTTGTTGCCCTGCTGCTGGTGGAGGCTGTACCCGCTGGGCTTGGCCTGGGAGTCCTGCAACACAACACACGCTCTGACCTCCATCTTTGTAGTTTTCAGTTCAAATTCAAAGGTATTATCGTCATATGCTCAGCAGCTACTGACCTGAGCTCCTCCAACAATGCAACATATATCATAAAATACAAAAACACAACATAGTGCAAGAAGTCTAGATACATGGAAATACAATATGATGTACAAGAACAGAATGTGAAATTAAATAATGTACATTGAGCCTAAATTAAATACGATCCAAAGCTGCGCTCACACCGGACTCAAAGCGAAGATTAGCATCACGTCACTTGCATCATTGGTGTGTACTCGCGTCACTCAAACTATACAAGCTGGTGAGGAGGCGGGGCTTATCTCCATTTAGATAACAACAACAACATTAACATATTTAGATTTAATTGTACCACCCGTATCAAGATGATGCCGAAGTATATACAAACCTGCCTCTCAGGTGTGAACGCAGAAACACGCGGCACCTTCGGCTAGCGGTACCTTCGGCACGCGGTACCTTCAACGTCCGGTACCTTCCACACAGACGGTACCATTCAACGTCCGG